CTTTGTGAAAGAAGTGATGACTTGGATGCCTACTTACATAGACAAGAACAGGCTGCCCTTGTTCAAGGATGGGAAACAAGAGTGTGGGCAAGAGCACTCAGTTTGTGCCTGGTTAGGGAAGGTTTAGGTGTTTTTGGTAGAATGCCCAGTCATGACTCCCTAGATTATGATAAGGTCAAGAAAACACTGTTGCATTATTGTTAGGTTGGTGGCAAAGGGATTCCGGGAGTCGTTTCGTCGGTGTAAGGCAGAGAATGCAGAGACAGTGAAGCAGCTTGTGTGCCACTTTTCAAAATATTTTGAAAGATTGATAGAAATGGCAAAATGTCGAAGAACTATACAAAGATATGTGGAATTGCATAGTTCTGGAGCAAAACTTGAGTTATTGAAATAAAAAGTGTATTCCTGAAAGAACGAAAGATAACCTTACTTGACAATGTAGCAGAGAATGCCGACCAGTACAGTTAAACCCTGTTAATACGTACCTGGCGAGAATGGCAGTATAACCACGCACTAAACATACTATACATTAGCCACCAGCTACAAATTTGCACCTCCTGGCATGCGCCCTCACTGCCAACAAAGGAAAAAAACTGAGTGCCACGGCAAATATTGCCTAAAGTGCCCACTTCAGAGCCATTTCTTTCTTTTTGCCAAAGTACAGAAAAGTTCCTGACTCTCGCACAATCCTCCCATAGCATGCAGTGGCGACGCCGATGTGCTTTTCGAAACTACAGCGGGATCCAAGATAGGCAGCGTGGTACAGCGACAGAACAAACATAATTGGCTGTCCGTGACAGTTTTTCTGTGGTCTGCTTTTCAGCGAAAACTGACACAGTTTTCTTTTTAAAACACGGTACACTCGCAGAGAGCCAAATCGTTTACTGCATAGCTAGTTGCGTGCAGCGCTTCGCTCACCCTGCGCACACCGTGACTGCCGATTTGCTTGCTCTAGAGTACACCTTCTCCGCTTAAGGCCATGCACAGATTCGGCGAGTAGCCTGCTGGGTTAACGCGGCGACAAATAGTTTTCCTCAGGTATTGCACTCTCGGCGATGCTCTACAGTCCTCGCAGCAGACAGAGACGCAACTGAGCTGTCGCTAAATAAGAACGTCCAGCATTATAATAGCTCTACGCTCGCTGTACGGTGCGCGGCTTGGCATAATACAGTAAGGTTTCTCGGTGCCCACGACCCGCAACGGTAAACTCCATAACAGCGAGCTGCTTGCGTTTCTATAAAGCGGTGTGCGCTTGAACACGGTCCCGCAAAACTAAGCGGCAGCAATCGGCGGCCCAGCGGGTTCAAGTAGTCGCCTACTAAAAGCGTGTAGTAGGCCTAAAGTGACACTACGCCACACGCGTGCCCGGGCAGATAACCAGAGACTGTGATAAGGCTTTTCCTTGGCAATAAATCATACCAGCGTGTTTGCCACTGGTCGCCAACTCGCCTTCGTTTTATCCCTGATCATTACTCGCAATGACATCGCTGCAATGGCGCGGAAGTTGGAATAACTTATCGGCTGATCCCCTCACTTATAAACACAATAAAAAACCATTTACCGCACACTGTGGCATTTGCGAGTTCAGTGGTGCAGTAAAATTTTGTGGCACAAAATGTTATCGTGGTACACAGTTAGTACGCACTAACCAGTAGGCATAGGCCAAACATTACGGCTCAAGCGGTCCGTCGAGCGGTCCGATTCTTTATGAAACCCGGTCAGGTACTCGTCACAACTACGTTTCAACCATAAGTACGCTTAAAGCGAATACGCACTAACGAGTAATACTGTATCTAAAGGCTCACGAACTTGGAAACCTAGAGAAGGCAAATGAGGATGGTGCCAAAGCAAAACCAGATGAGACTGAGGGTAGCCGTCAGGGGGTACCAAGTATGTCACAACAGCCACTCGGCTGTTTCTTGTGTAACCACATAGGGCACTGAGCCATCAACTGTTGAGCAAGAAATGCTCGTACACATCCTGAAGTAGTGTGTCAGTAGTGCAAAAGATGGGGACACTGTGCGAATGAGTGTAGGTCAAAGCCTACAGACAAAGTGGCCTGTATAGTGGACTCACAGGTGATGACATGAAAGAAGGACATTACAGTTAAACCTCGTTATAACGAGACGGGCTATAACGAAATAATGGATGCAACGAGCAAATCCTAATTCCCCTTGAAAGTCCCCATACAAACCAATGTATTCAAAACCTCGTCTTAACGAGGCAAAATTTGCCTGTTATGGGATATAACGAACAAATTTTGTTAGGAAGTAAAATTTTAAGCCGATGTCACGACAGTGCACAACGCGAATTTGAGACGGCGCGCAACGCGAGAACTGTATTTAGCAGTTCAAAACTCCCACCACGCACCCTCCAGCAACGCGCGCAAAGCAGATGGCACGTGCTGTTTCCGGAGGAGAGGTCGCTGCACGTGCGCCGCTTGGCTACAAGAAGCTGGCAAAGGCGAACCGCAAGGTGTGCCTTGTTTTAGATAACTGCACCGCCCACCATACCGCTGCCGTGCTTCAAAACATCGAGCTGCTGTTCCTTCCTGCCAACTGCCAGCAAAAAATACAGCCGCTTGACCAAGCCGTGATTATGTTGCTGAAGGCAGGTTACCGCAAGCGTGTGACAGACAGGCTCCTTTTCAACATGAGGATGAAGCGAGACACCGATGTTGACTTGTACGCTGCGCTCGAAATGCTTCAGGCGGCGTGGATGAGTGTGACGGCGACCACGATTGCAAACTGCTTACGACACGCCTCATTCGCCGCCGCGCCAGACGCCAGCGATGAGCCATCAGACGAGCCCACTGTGCCGGACGGTTTCGCCACATCAGACGAAGTCGCTGCATCATGGACGACAATTCGTGACGCCGGTGTCGTGCCTGACAACGAGTCGTTTTGCGACTATGTGAGTGCGGACTCGGAAGTGGTGGCAACGGAGCAGCTCCTGGATGACGATATTGTGCGTGCTGTCAGTGATCATAACGAAACCAGTGACGATGACTCTGTCGACAAACAGGAGACAAACATGCCGACGGCGTCGGAGGCATTAGATGCAGTGGACGTACTGCGCCGCTACTTCGGCGCTCACGAGGGCGGCGAAGATGGCTTGAACATTGTGGCCGCAGCTGAGCGAGCCATCGTTCGCATCAGGAAGATGCATCAACGTCCAATTACGGACTTCTTTGCAGCTAAGTCTGCCTGAAATGCAAGCTGTGTATTTTGAAGTGCATTAAAACAGGTGCATGACTTTTTCCTTTTTATTTGGGAATGCGGTTATTTTGTTGCATACCACCATGCGGCGGGATGCTATTTCGCCCGCTACTTTTTTGGGGTAAGTACAGTGCATAATATTTGCGGTAAATGCCTGCTACGGCTATAACGAAATATTGGTTATAACGAGCAAATAGCGGCGGCCCTCCAATTTCGTTATAACGAGGTTTAACCGTAGATGCTCATAAATGACTCGGGAAAGAATGACACTGAATTTTACTTGTAAGAAGATTGTTCACTGGTGGTTGATGGAGGGGTGCATGAACAAAGGGTAAGAGTGTTGAGACGTAGAAACACGACCATTATTTTAGAAAAAAGGAGCTTGGCGGCAGTTTACAGTTTAATGAGGAGGCTTCCACAGGCTTGGGTTAAAACTGTAAGCCAATATTACAAAGGTTGACGTGACTTTTGAAGCAAACAGGTGGGTTGACAGCAAAGCGCTTGCAGAAGCCCACATACGAACTGATATTGGGTAATATCATCGCGGCCACGAAAATAAAGAAGGGTGAAAACTGCAAGGCAGGCAAATCACTGGTGCCACGCATGCTAAGATGTGGCATACTTGCGAGTGCAGATGTCACTCGTGCTGTTCCCCGCACGACGCCCTGTCACTCTAGAGAAAAAAGTTGACCCCTGTACAAGTCAAGCCATGTGTATCTGTAATGCAGTGGAAGCAAGGAGACGTCCGCCAGTAGCAGCGCACGGGACCGCTTCACTAGGAATGTGGTCTTGGTGGTCATGGCATGCGCGATTGGCGTCGGACACAAGCTGCTTGCGCGGTTTTGTATTATACCTGGTGCTCTAAAACCAGTGCACTACAGGACTTTCAATCTCATTGGCAAAAAATTGCATGCCTCCACCGAAAACCTCGCACAAGCCAGAGAGCAAGGGCCCATCGCCGCAATGCTGCAAAAAAAGGCCTGCCTGAATGAAGGTGGCAGCTCGCATGGAATGCCAGGGTCCAACATATAGTGCTGGGTCATTCTTGAACTGTGAACTTTTTTTAGATAGCCTTTCTGGCATTCTGAGTGAATTTCATGCAGATTGGCTGAAGAGAATATTATTAAACATTATTTTTTACTCTCAGCCATATTTTTCTCTGTTCCTCGTGTTGCTCTGTTTTCAGAGTTTGTGAACTCAAGTTTGTGCGCTTTATGTAGTCTAATTATAATGAAACTTGGCATGCTTAAACTTTAATATGTTTGGAATTCAAAGAAAAAACTTTCAGAGGTCTCCATAAGCATATTGAACTAGATAATTTCAAAAGCTTGTTCATTGTGCATGGTAAAACTGAAACTCGGCATTCTAATTTATTTCTAGGCCAGCATACATAACTACACAGTGGCTCCTAGTTTTATTGAACTCATCAATTTGTTAGGAGCAATATTTCCTATTTTTTAGTGCTTTCTAGTGCTCACTATTTTGGCCTAAGCTGGCACAATAATGCATTGTTTTTACAAATGTATGATTCGAAAAATTTAACTAAATGAGCTATCAAAAAATGAAAGCAGATTTGAAAAGAGGAGCTCAACCTATAATGTAACTGGTGAAATTTTCATTGAACTGTCACAAACATATGCATAAAAAGTGTTTTGACAAGCATCTCCTCCTAACTGGGACATTTTTTGTTTCTGAATTTGTGCGGTCATATAAAAGCACATAAGTTACAGCATAGAGAGCAAAGCGCGTGTTCAGAAAAGCACTAGTACATCGTGAACTCACCTTTTGAGAACCCGGGAGTCCCTCTGATTCCGTAAACAGATACGCAAATGGCAGTAGAATGAAGATGGAGATGTTGGAAAAGAGAAATATCTCATTCCACAGTCCTGTAAATAGATGCAATATACAGAAGCTCTCAGAAAAGGGCGAGAAGGGTCACATAAAAGCTTCCATTAAGAAATTCCTTATTGTGCTGGAGCAGACATTTCGGCTTGTCATTTTGATATGTGGGGTTTAACGTCCCAAAACCACTATATGATTATGAGACGCCGTAGTGGAGGGCTCCGGAAATTTGGACCACCTGGGGTTCTTTAACGTGCACCCAAATCTGAGCACACGGGCCTACAACATTTCCGCCTCCATCGGAAATGCAGCCGCCGCAGCCGGGATTCGAACCCGCGACCTGCGGGTCAGCAGCCGAGTACCTTAGCCACTAGACCACCGCGGCGGGGCGGCTTGTCATTTTCAAAGCTGCAACTGATTTCCTTAGCACGGGTTTGTGTATGCTTCATACCCTCTCCTGCCCTCAAAGCACAGGAGCAGGAGGAGGAAAGGGCATCTGCAAAAAGGGGGAAGAGGACATGTGAGGGTGCCGTGGCGAATTGGGAGAGGCAGAGTGAAGAAAGTATGTGTTCCGGTTTCTTTAGCAATCTTTTTCACCAACTGTATAAAAACACAGCGTTACAGTACAATGATTCAACATTTCATTATCATCATCATCATAAGCCTGACTACGTCCAGTGCAGGACAAAGGCCACTCTAATGTTCCCCCAGCCAACTCGGTCCTGTGCTTGCTGCTGCCATTTTACACCCACAAACATATCTGCCCATCTAAATTTCAGTCTCCCCCTCACCCACTTGCCTTCTTTGGGAATCCAGTCAGTTACCCTTAATGACCAGCGGTTATACTGTCTACGCGCTACATGCTTGGCCCATGTCCTTTTCCTCTTCTTGATTTCAACTATGATATCCTTAACCCCAGTTTGTTCCCTAATCTACTCTGCTTTTTTTTTCTTGCTTTTTAAGGTTACACCTACCATTTTCCTTTCCATTGCTCTCTGCGTCATCCTCAATTTAAGCTGAACCCACTTTGTAAGTGTTCAGGTCTCTGCTCCATAGCTAAGTACTGGCAAGATGCAGCTGTTATGTACCTGCCTCTTAATAATCTAATAGTGCAATCTATTTGTCGAGATTTGAGAGTGCTTGCCAAATGTGCTCTGTCCCATTCTTATTTTTATAGTTCCTTCAATCTCGTGGTTCGGCTCTGCGGTTATTACCTGTTCTAGATAGACATAGTCTTTTTACAACTTCTTGAGCACTATTACCTATCTCGAAGTGCTGTTCTCTTCTGAGGTTGTTGCACATTACTTTCGTTTTCTGCAGATTAATTTTAAGACCTACCTTTCTGCTCTCCTCGTCTAACTCCGTAATCATGAGTTGCAATTCGTCCCCTGATTTACTCAGCAATGCAATGTCATTGGCAAAGCGCAGATTATTAAGGTACTCTCTATTGACTCTCATCTTTAACTATTCCCATTCTAAGCCTATGAAAACCCCCAGTAAGCACATGGTAAATAGCATTGGGGAGATTGTATCGCCCTGCCTTACAACCTTCTTGATTGGTATTTTGTTGCTTTCTTTATGAAGCACCATGGTAGCAGTTGATCCCCCATAGATTTCTTCCAGTATGTTTATATAAGCTTCATCGACGCCCTAATTCCGCAGTGTCTGCATAACTGCTGATATTTCTACTGAATCAAACGCCTTCTCGTAATCTATCAAGACTACGTATAGCGGTTGGCTGTATTCTGAGCATTTCTCTATTACCTGATTGGTAGTATGAATGTGGTTGATTGTTGAGTAGCCTGTTGGAAATCTTGCTTATTCCTTTGGTTGATTGAATTCTAATGTAGCCTTAATTCTGTTAGCTATTACCTTTGTAAATAGCTTGTTTACGATGAAGAGCAAGCTGATCGGCCTGTATTTCTTCAAGTCCTTGTCATCTCCTTTCTTATGTATAATGATGATGTTAGCATTCTTCCAAGATTCTGGTACTCTTCCTGTCAAGAGACACATTGTAAACAGGGTGGCTAGTTTTTCTTAACACAATCTGTCCTCCATCTTTCAGCAGCTCTTATGTTACCTGATCCTCACCAGCAGCTTTACCTCATTGTGTTTTCTCGAAGGATTTTCTCACTTATTCTCTCATTACTGGTGGGGAGCCATCAAGGTTACTCCTAGTTCGTGGTTCGGTCGTGGTTGACCCGTCTACTATACAGATCTCTGTAAAAATCCTCCACTGTTTTAGTTATCCTATCCATATTGGTGGTTATTTTGCTTTCTTTGTTCTTTCATCTGATTTTTTGCCTAACCCAAGTTTCCTCTTCACTGCTTTGATGCTTCCTCCGTTTTTCAGAGCAGGTTAAATTTTCTCCATGTTGTACCTTCTTACATCACATACCTTACGCTTATCGATCAACTTAGAAAGCTCTGTCAACTCTATTTTGTCAGTTTTACTTGAGGCTTTCATGCTTTGACGCCTCTAATGAGGTTCTTCGTTTCATGGGACATCTTCTCAGTGTTTTGGGTCTAACTACCGTAACTTTCACTGCACACTCCGTAATGATACTCATCAGATTATCATTCATTGTGTCAATGCTAAGACTGGTTTCCTCGATAAGAGGCGAGTACCTGTTCAGAAGCGAGACTGAATTCCTGTACTTTCCCTCCCAGTGCTAGTTCATTGATTGGCTTCTTGCGTATCAGTTTCTGTCGTTCCTCTTTCAACTTTAAGAGAATTCGAGACCGTACCATTCTATGGTCACTGCATCAAACCTTGCCAAGCACTTCCACATCCTGCACAATGCCTGGTTGTGCACTCAGTATAAAGTCTATTTCGTTCTTATTTTCGCCATTAGGGCTCCTGAGCATGTCCACTTATGGTTCCCTCATTTTCGGTAGAAGGTATTAAAGATCGGTAAATTCTTACGTTCTGCAAATTCTACTAGTATCTCTCCTCTGGCATTTCTAGTACCAATGCCATAATCTCCTACTGCCTGGTCTCCAGCCTGCTTCTTCCCTACCTTTGCATTAAAGGCTCCCATCAGTATAGTATACTGTGTTTTTACCTTACTCATTGCCGATTCCACATCTTCATAAAAGCTTTCAACTGACGCGTCATCATGGCTGGATGTAGGCGCATAAACCTGCACCACCTTCATCTTGTATCTCTTATTGAGTTTAATTACGATACCTTTCATTAATGCTATAGCATTCCTCTATGTTGCCAGCTCTGTTTCTGTGGATAAGGAATCCCACTCCCAGTTCCCTTCTGTCAGCCAAGCCACGATAGCCCAGAACGTGCCCATTCTGTAGCACTGTATAGGCCTCATCTCTCCTCCTGACCTCACTAAGCGCTATAACATCCCATTTAACACCCCCGAGCTCCTTGAATAGTGCTGCGTTGCAGATGTGACTGCCGCCGTGGTCAGTTGCTTTGCAGCCACTGAGGCTTGAGAGCCTGAATTATTGACGTATGAATGTGGGAGGTAGTGGCCAGGTGCTGCACCAAGGTGGTTAATCCTTCTATGGTGAGGGAGTGCGTTGTTTCACCACCGGAGAGCCTGCACTCCAGGTTTCCTAATGCAGTTCCATCAACACGCAAATTTTTTTTTTTAATCCGATTGGAAACTGCGCGGCACCGGGATTCGAACCACGGACCTCTTGCATACGAGGCTGATGCTATAACCACAACGCCATCGGTGCTACCTTTTGCGATTGTGAAGCAGAAACCGCAAATGCCTGCTAGGGGTTCGTGTGGAACACACGCGGCCTAGTCAGCTATTTCGTCGAGACACGCGGCCTAGTCAGCTATTTCGTCGAGAGAAAGATCAGGCCTCTTGTGGCAGATAAGGAAAGAACCTTTGCTCTCCTGCCGAAAGGGCTGTTCCGAGGCGAAAGCCAAAGAAGCGGTAAAAAAAGCACCTTAACTTTTTCCTTACCGTCCTATAGAGCATCGACCACTATGGATTGATGGTTTTAAAAGCCCGCCGAAAATAGAAATGCGCGCTCAAGGGCACTTAACGGCATTGTGGCCGGAAATATAGGAACTAATCTACACTTCTTTTTTCGTTGCGCTCAATGGACGAGAGCTCCCGTGCAAAAAGAAAAAAAAAAAAATTCCGCCATATCCACGAAGTGAATGATGATGAGTGGGCGAAGCTCCGGAGGTAAACCTGGTGAACCATGAATCCTTTGTACATTTTGCCCACTCGATTTTATTACATCGCTCCCCCTAGCGTACGTCGCCGCACTAAATCGAACGATTGCCTTCAACCAATGACATGCGCCATATGTGACATCATTCCTATTTTATAGGATCTTGCGTCTTTCATCAACTACAAGTACCGCTTTCTAGTTTATAACATCTTGCATCTTTTCATCATCAGCTACAAGTACCACCATCTAGTAAACACTACAAGAACTAAACGAGAGGTGGCTACATGCAGGAGACGGTACCGCCATCTAGTGAACACTGCAAGAACTAAACTAGAGGTGGCTACATACAGGGGACGGTACCGCCATCTAGTGAACACTGCAAGAACTAAACTAGAGGTGGCTACATACAGGCTACAGGGGACGCACAGCCCACGCCCTAAGGAGCTTCGCCCCTAAAAAGAGAGCGAAGGAGGCAGCTTTGTGTTTCACTACATGGCTCCAAAAGCGCATCACCTGCCGCCGAAGAAGAAACTTCAGAAACACGATTCCCCTGACTCTACTGCTCATGATCTTGATTTGAGCTGTAGTGAGGACTCTGTAGAAGAAGTTGAATCATCAGATCTCGACTCAGACAGCGATGATTCATCTCCACAGCCCGGACCTTCAACCCGTGTGTCAAAGTAAGTGTAGATTCGGATGTCGACGTTTTTATGCCGTGAGTGTGTTTTATAAGTGACGACACTTGTTTACATTTCTTTTACTAGGGTGTCAACTACCTATGGAGGCGATATTCTGCCGAATGCACCATCCAGAGTCAAGTTCTTACCTAAACGAACACCTGGGGTACGTTTAGATGTGACGGCCGGAGCAAGACGCGAAGTTTCATTTG